TTGCACGACCATCTGTGTTCTTTTCCTCTGCGGTTCACTCTCGTTCCGTTTCATTATCTGAGACAATTTCTTTTTCAGGCCGGATTTGGTTCGCCTGATTTCACTACTCTACACGATCCCTTCGAATGTCAACGTACTGAACAGTTTGCTGTTTGCCCAAGTTGAACAGTGTAAGTTAGTAGTGTGTATAGCCTTATTGCTGGCTCTCTCTTTCTAGTGCAAAATCAAATATCGATACGTGCTTGCTGGACCAATTTTCAGATGTTGCTATTTTCTTCTATCTCGAATACGTTTAGCAAATCCAGTGAAATCCAATCTGGCGACCGATGTTCTCGAAGCGGTGGCTTGTTCGAATCCGAATGTGTTCGACTTCCTTGTCGGCTTCTTGTGTGAGAGTACGAGGCGACAACTAGACCAAAGCGGTATTTTGCCATCGGGTGGGTGTTTGCATCTTTGTATTTTCTTTGCCACAAATTGTTTGTCGATGTCTTTTCTTTTTCTGTGGTTCTGTTATGATTCTCACTGTTGAACTTGTGTCGCTCATTCCTAAATTTTCATCTTATTTCGTGGCAAGAATTCCCGATTCGGTTATCTGAACGTCAAGTCTAGTCAAATGCTTGTTTTTGTGACCCTATTTTCATGCTCTTGCTCTTGCATTGATTTAATTAAATGTTCTATGTGTTGACGGAGGAGTTCACCCTGTTTGGAAGAGATAGCGCGAACTTTGCCTGGCATCATTCGAACAGGGAGCTTTTGACTGGCTTCAGTAACACAGAGCTTATCACTCCACGCAAATGCTTACTGGCATTCGGGTGTATTAGAATAGAATTATGACCATGTCTTTAAGTTGTGTATAAATAAACGACCAGTAAGCCCAGATGCATAATGAACGGTTGACATTTCCCGTCAAACTAATTGATCAGATGTTCTTGGAGGACTTCGCATAACATGCTCGCATGTCAGCTTGTGTAAAATGATGATAGATTTCCGAACGTTCCTCGGAAAATAATAACTCACGCACTTGAATACACGTAATCCGGAGTCGTTTATCCGCTGACAAATCGATTCGAGTTCGTGACCATTACTTAGGTCCATTGATTGGAAGACTACAATATTCATCAATCTTCTGGGGTCATTTCTTTTCTCCTTCTTAGGGCAATACAATTCCAGTGATTTAAAGTGGTGTAAACCATAACTTCAATCAAGGGGATATGATCAAATTTACTGTCTCTCATGTGCTTCACGATAATCACCCGTTGACCAATTCTGTAACTCGCCCCCCCCCAAGCTTTTTTCGGCTTGTGTGTGGATGACGAGGTCGTTTAAGGTCAACTGTAAGCGTCTCATACGCTGCATGATCCACCTGATTTACAAAACAATACCACAGAAAAACCCACCGTTCGAGACACTACATGAGAGGCACTGATTCTCTGTCGATTGGAAGCTTCAATAATACATTCAGATAATTCTCTCCAGTTCTCTGAGTATATTAATGAAAAAAGATCTGAACGAATATTGAAGATGTGCTTAGTCATTGTCTTATTTCTGGTGCAACAGAAATGACACCGTCAATTTCAGATTATAGGAGGGCTGAGCAAAATGTTTTATATATTATACACAAATAAGCGTTACATTTGCTCGAAGTGTTCTCCACCAGCGTTCATCTACAGTGTCATGCGCTCCAACCATTTGGCGAGACAGAGTTCCATTTCTACCGTTCAAGTACAGCGACCCTTATGACTTGTGATATGTGATATGTGTTGATATTTGGTTCCGTGTGAGTTACAATCACTTAACAATATTCACAATAGATTACAGTTCACTTTTCCTTGTACGGTCATCGGCATCTCATAATTGTGCGGCCTATCCGGAAACCTTGTTGTACACTCCTCGTATCATCATTAATCTTGTACTTGCGTGGGGTTGGCTTTGCTCTCTTTTCGGCCGCTCATTTAGTCGAAGGAGTTAAAGAAAGAATCGGAAGTCTGGAAGCAGCACCACGGTATGAAAAGTTATGAAGGGGTCAGTTACATCACCATGAGGAACTACCGTTCCGCAACGCAACCTGAAGATCTAAGTCACCAAACTTTGGTGTAGAAACCTATTACTAAGACGAAAGCCAAATACACAAATATGAACTTAGATACTATACTATACTATACTATGCATAGTGGAATCGACCCTAAGGACAGAAAACTGATTCATACTATTCGTGTCACTTTGTTATTCACTTGTGCTTGAAGTGTTTGGAGCGCAGGTGTTTTCAGATACGATTCGCACGAACTGCTTATCTGTAACACAGTTTTCATTGTTCCCCCAATCGAGACTTTGACACCTCGTTACTGTTCACGCAAATTTTATCATAACTGTGTCATACGATTGAGTTTAATTATTTCATCAACTTTTCTCCGGTAGGCCATTCCATAGTGAAAACGGTAAATCGGGGTTGACTTTCTGCGATGCGTCAATTTGGATGTAATAAACAGGATAGCGAGTGAGCACCAATGTCACTAGACTCATGTTATGTCNCAAACGTCCAGTTCCAACTCTTTAACTGCAGACCTCACAAAATCAGATGTCAAACAGTTCAGCACGAAAGTTTTATTCAAGGTTGTAAATTGCGTCACACTAAAAGGCGAAATGTGCTTATTTCATATACATGATTTGACTCGGAGGTTAATCGAAATTGTGCACGATAACCAATATTGCAACATTCCAGGGTAGAGGTTACGGCTAAGATAGAACAGATTAGGGATTCGTTTGACTGGCCCTACGTTCCAGCACATTCCACGAATTCCCTGGAAGCTTTGATATTTTCTTACTGATTGACTTCGGTTTATCATCGAAATAGGCCAATTTTCAGGAAAACTTTTGCTATCCATCATTATGTGTCCAAAACTGATTTTCTACACTCGGGGACTTGGAGTAATGAATAGTATAATATCCTAATAGGGTACTCCAAGCAATGCGTTGGATGAGAGCGTGAATACCTCCAGGCACAACCAAATTGTTTGCATCTTTCTTGGTCTGACGCTAGGATATCCTCAAATACAGTTTTTGTTTTGTAGTCTAAAGATGAAATCTCGTTCCACTTCTATTGCTCCAGTTGATTAGCATACAGCCTCATCGGCTCCCATCAATTCAATCAACTCCTCGGAAAGTCACACAACTATTCGCACAAATGCATGCCAGTTATTAACCAATGGCATTTAGTCATCTGTATACCATATTGCGTGTCAATTCTGTTGTGCATTCAATCGTGAGAAATAGAAGCTCTTAAAATTTATTCATTCATTGAACTGTATTATCAATCATTCAGACTATCGGTTTTTTTACCTGAATGACATAACCCGTCTGGTCAGTAGATAATGCTGTTACATAAACTCATGTTTACTTTCGTATCCACACCCACCCTTGATCCCCGTTTACAAATTCATAGCTTGCCGACTAATCTCCGTGCTTCACACGGTGGTCCAGTCCACTGTGCGTTCTCCGCCAAACCAAGCGATTATCCAGCGTTTGCATGCCTCGGTACTGGATAGGGCGGATCTGCTTCTGTGCCTGTTCACCAAAAATGACAGCTTATCTTCACTGGAACTCAGGCGATTGGGAGATGTCATTCGTATCACCACAGCTGTCTGTTCTGAAGAGTAAGTAAATTCAATTTCTCATCTGCTATGTCTATCCTCTGCACTTTGTTGTTATTCTCCTCTTGAACCATATCCGAATTTATGTGCGCTTTTCCACCTTGCATTTTCTCTCTCTGTCTCTCTATTCATACACGTCTACATTCAGACTGTGTACCAAACAAATCACAGTACGAAAATTTTTATAGGAAAGAGGGCTCGAGGGCACGATACTGCTAGTTTTCCCAGGTCGAAGCAGATGAATTTTCTTAGGAAGTGCACAGCCGGAGCCTTCGGTTAACCAAAGTCTAGCTCGCATGGCAGCACGGTGGTGTGTAAAACCCGCAATCCATTGGGAGCCGGTGTTCAGTTAATCGGATCATACTCCCATGTTTTTTACCGTTCGCTCGCTGATATCCTCTTATGCAACTTCAATACTGTGAGGGATCACTTTGTACCTTTGAGGTCATTCGGTTACTGTTCAACCCGTATTGGCTCACTAGGATACCACTCATTCTTCAAATGCCGGTTCTCGTCCTTTATGGAATGTAACACTTCATTCGAGACTATGTGTTTCGTAGAACTTAAAAAAGCCGACCTGATTGACCACGAAATTCTTTCCAGTTTCATACAGGTGGTAACGCATTGCAACTTGATTAGCATCCTGAATTGTGAATCGCTGAGACACTAAATGCAGTTCATGTCCATCCATTTCGTAGTTTGTGCTGTATTGTCTGCTCTATGAAATGGTATCAAGCCCTGATGTGGTTGCTGCCCGAAATCTGTGCTCGATACCTTTTGTACGTTGTAATTGTGTCATTTCTATGTGGACCAATTAGCAACCAATTAATCGTGGTAAAATACCTCCCACACACTAAGCACTCAGTTAATCCCAGGTTTGGATGGGTAAATTTGAATGTGAGAAGATCAGTGCTATCGGCGTGGCCTCGTAGCTCAGCCGGTGGAGGATGCGCGTACAAAGCGTAGGCGGCGTCCATGCGTGGGTTCGAATCCCACCGAGGCTACTGAACTTTTCATAATCGACATAAAAATTTCAAATCTACCAAACAACAATTTGAACAATCCCAGATTTGACAAAGATAAGGATTTCACAGCATTGAACCCTTGAAATCCTTATCCAAACAAGTTGTTTATCCTGCAGTTATCTTGTTTCCTTCATTATTTGCTGTTCTGTCAATGCATATGGCTATAGTTTACCAAACATCAATTGTCTGATTACTACCACGGTGTGCGCAATGAAATTCTTCNTCTGTATTACCCGTTCTCGCTCCTAATTCGAATTTTTCTACGCCCGTCCGTCCACTTGTTCCGATCCTTTGGCGTACCAATCATGCATGTGCGTGCGCGCAAACATACCATAAAACGTACTTAGGTTTCCTAATTCAATTCATTTGTCTTGTTTAACTTTGTAATTACGCGAACACTTCTAGTGTACTAAAGAAAATCCTCCCGCAATGTTTATCTTCTAGCTCACCTGTGGAAATTTATTACAAGATCTAACTGTTTCTGTTGTGGCAGTATTGCTGCCTGGTTAGTGCTCATCCTTTTCACCGAATCAAACTATCCATTCAGCTCGCGTTTCACGTTAGCCTAGGCATCTGTTTGTCCGGCCTTATTCCCAGTTCCTTTATTCTCATTTCAGTGTAATTTCCGTTTCATGCTGTAAACTTTGAAAAGCTTTTTTGACTTGACCTCACTTGAATTTTACTTCAAATTTTCTTGTTCTCTCCGCTAATGATTATTATGGTATTTTATTCAACAGAAATTAGGCCCGATTCTTTTGAATGCGTGCCCTGTTTTGCACGGATTTTGAATAGGGTCAGGATCATATTTTTGGGNCTCAAGTGAACTGTAGCTTGATAAAATTTGTGCCCTGTCGGCAACTTCGAGGGTATTACTATTTTCGCATCTGCTGTCACTGGGATTAAAAAAGATGTAATGCCTTTCTATGGTCTCTTAACGGCTTCATCGCGTTCGTTTCTCTGTCCCTAAATCTTGCCCCTATCATTATGCTTATTTTCTATTCTGGTTCACAGTATTGTTTGGAATACCAATTGATGACACCTTTTCTTTTTTGATCCCCAGCCAACAGAATCAGCTGCTACTCTCCTACGATTACCCTAAAACAGAGGTATGTCCGATTCCTATATCCTCACCGCTCCGTATTGTTACTGCCACTCGCCACAACTAAGAAAAAAATGCACTTCTCATTCCTTTTTTTAGGCAAATGGCTCCAAAGTGATGATGATCTTGTCTTGGTGTTCCATTCTCTCGGGTCTTCGATCGAAGGTAAATTTCAATTGTCTTCCGCACACCGTCTCATCTATTTTCTATTTGCTTCATTCTTACCTCTTCAAATGGCCTCTGAACCGGTACAAATTGCGAGACGCTTGAATAACTTTCAATGCAGTTGAAAGCATGTACCGCAATTGATCACTCTGTCTTATCATCGTCATCATCATCATCGTACACTCAAGAAAATTCTGACCTAATAATAATAACTTGAGCTGCTCACTCAACTGCGCCAAGGTGTCGAACGCAGCTGTAAAGAATGTCTGTTTGATTAAGCGGGTCTTTGATCGGTTTGAGTCAGCACTTTTCCCCCTGTCTATTATCAGGATACATTCGCCCACTAAATTAAATCACGGAATATGCCCATTGATTAAAAACACAGTGTAGGCGAACATATGTTTTTGGTGAATTCCTTTTCAAGCCTTTACAGTCACATTTATATGAAACAATTTCAATACGGTCAAACAGAAAAATGATTGGGGCATGTGTTTGGCAGTGAGCTCAAGAGAACTCAAAATTTGTGCGCAGTTTGGATCACATAACCAAAATGGTGAGTTAACGTACTTCTGGGGCATTCGTTTTCGAATAAGGCGCTTCGTGGTCATCTGAGTCCAAAGCTCCTTTTAGGTCAACGAGCACTGCGATCGTTGGTCGGCGGTGTGTGTGTGTGTGACGTAGCTCGAGGACCTGGTGCAACGTTAGAATTTGATCAGTTCATCAACGACCGTTATATAGAACGTTCCAATAAGTAATTGAAACCCACAGACCTAGATATGAATGATGCGCATCACTGCGGTCACTTTGCTTCCCATCAGTGTGCATAAAACAGCTCATCTATTCCAGCGTCTGGATTACTCCTCGTCTTTTTCATTCAATGATTCATGATGACTTTGGTTGCATTGCACACAAATCGTGTATGTTGGTGGCGTAGAGCTTTAGTCGCTGTCACCGGCATGCTTTGGACCCTGTGATCCGAGGTTCGAGCCCCGCCATCCGACTTTAGTGTTAGACAGCCTTGCTGTCGCCCGGTTCTGTACCACGCCTGACCTAGCGGGGCCTTATGTGGTTCGTCACTACACCCACCGGGGCTCAAACTGTCGGTTACCATCACCGAACAGTAGGTCTTCGTGACTATGGGGTCCGCCTCTGTCTTCTGTTCGTCACACACAGATGGGTAATAAAAAAAATCCGTGATTGATCGAACTAAATAAGCAATAAGGAAACGGTCTAAAGGTAATTCATTATCCCCAAACACTTTGTATGGCTTCATTTTGACATGGATAACCGATGGTAAAGATTAAACAATCGTTTCTCATGATTCCTTATCCTGCACCACCATCACACACTTGAGAAAAAACTGTAGATAGTCAAGTAATGGCTAATCGTCATGTCATTGATCCAAGAGGTGATGTTTTACTGACATCATGCTGTTGATGGGTTGATCGTATATCGTCGGGATCGCGGTTCTTCTGTGTGCCATTCACGTCAGACCAAGATAGCTAATCAGCTTGAACCGAACGCACACCGAAACCGGGGCTGGTCGTTTTCGCTTCGTTCGTGACTAAGATACACACCTGTACTGTTGTTGATCAACTGCAACGAACCTGATACAGCACTTTGTGGGCGCTCTCCTAGCGGGTGATATGCTATCCAATGTTGTCATGATCCTGACTATGTGTATATCGAACTTCCTTATTGTAGTATTGAAACGTAATGGAATGATTTTAAAAGTTCTCTGCATGGTTGTATTTCCCGAGGCTGGCGATTTATAAAACAGTATAAACATTAATCTACAAAACTGTCGTTCTGTGTAAGTGAGCAAGCGTTAGATATGTGACTTGTTTTTTATCGTTTAAATTTCTTTTATGAACTCTTGAATCTTATTTGCAAGTAGTGCTATTTGTGCATGCCAGATCCTTGGGATACTAGTTGGGTGTGGCCAATTAGGTATTCAATTTTCAGTATTCCGTTCGTAACCATGGTGTAGATCGCGCTCGAAAAGAAGAATAACCTAGTGATTTNATTTTTAATCACAATCCTTGCCCATGTGACGCTTAATAACTTTCATACATTCATTTTATCTCTCCTCAGGTAGTTCAGTCCGTTGGACACCTACGCTCTATCGAGTGGTTGTGTACTACATGTCAGATGATCCAAGGCCTATCGCAAGACGGAATAACTCAGTCCATTCTTTCCGTTTTGTGCATCGCTGCAGCTGAAGCATTTGCCTCAGTATTGAACAAAGCTCCTGAACCGCTAGATACTGGTGAGAAATCCATTAAACAAATACGTTTACATATAGTCCGATTGTGGAAAATGATAGGAGCCTCGGTAAGATTCGAACCCCTCACGTGGACACCGTTTTTGCCTCTCTCTAGGGCCTACGTTCATGAAAGGTGTCTCAAGATCTGGTGAACAAGGAACCGAACTTGTATCACTTCTTCAAATGATCCACCAAAAATGACAGAACGAGTATTTTTGTTTGGAATAGGGGTTGAAATTTCATTGTCACACAATAAGGCGCTTCACATTAATCCACTACATCTTTAATCATCAACCTTTAGCCAAAAATCCGCAACCATTTGGCCTCCGACCACAATCCTTGAGTCTTGGCTCACATTCCTTTAACCCTAAGGCTTTAGCCTCCACCCAAAAACATTTATCCACGATCCTTTAGCCAAAACCCGCAGTTCTTTAGCCACGACCAGTTGTCCATCAGTTTCGTCGAGTCAGATCAAAAAGTATCAGAATATTCTGAGGTCATAAGCTGAAGTGCAACGGAAGGGTGACCAGCAGCAACTCTAGACACCCACCCCCGACCATACTGAGGCTTTTTGAAGCTTAGAATATAGGTAACTTGTTACCAGTAAATTAGATGAGATACTCATGTGTTTGTTATTATCGAACGATTTTACCCCTGAAGAGTATGGTAATAAACTGGAACCATTAGTGTTGTCTGCGATATATCTTAGGTATGCAAATGTTGTACACACCGCATCTGTCATTATACATAGCACTTTATGATTTGCTCAAATTCCTCCCAGTTTCAGTCTTTGTTAACGTCTTATGGAAATGTTAAAAGGGCCCTCTCAATGACTGCGCCAATCATAGGGGTATAAGCCTTATCCCGATAGCGTCAAAGCTGTTGGCGTCCGTCATTCTCCGCCGATTGTACACTACGCGCGAAGAGCAGACCCGTGAGGAGCAGGCTGGGTTTCTTGCCGGTCGTGGATGCATCGATCAAATCTTCACCCTCCGACAGCTCCTAGAGCACCGTCATGCTTATCAGAGACCGACGATCATTGTATTCTTGGACATCCGAGCGGCCTTCGACTCTGTCGATAGGCCCGCACTATGGAACTGTTTGCTGAGGAATGGAGTACCTGAGAAGTATGTGTCGATCCTCAAAGAGTTGTATCGTCATACCTCAGGTCGGGTTAGGGCCTATGGCCAGCTTTCGCCACCCCTCGCCGTCTCCAGTGGAGTTCGGCAAGGCTGCACTATATTCCCATTCCTTTTCAACTTTGTCATAGAGGATGTTCTGCAGAATGCTTTGTCCGGTTTGGCGAACGGTGGAGTCGAACTCCTCCCAGGGAGCACGGTCCTCGACTTAGAATATGCCGATGACATCGCTTTGCTAGGTGACAACGCACAGCCAGTCCAAAACGCTTTGAACCGCTTGGTATCCAGGTACGGTATGTGCTTTGCACCTTCCAAGTGCAAGGTGCTTGTTCAAGACTGGAAGGAGCCTGTGCCTGCACTCACCCTCTGTGGTGATCAGCTAGAAGTAATCCAGAGCTTTAAGTACCTGGTGGAGGTGTTGGAGAGAAGATCACATTACGAATAGCGAAAGCTGGAGCAGCTTTTGCCAACCTGCGACACTTGTGGCGCCGCCATGACATCCGATTGTCCCTTAAGGGAAGGGTGTATATCGCCGCAGTTCGTAGCGTTCCAGTTTACGGTTGCGAGACCTGGCTCCTCCGCGTTGAGGATGCTAATCGACTTTCTGTGTTTGACCACCGATATCTCCGATACATTGCTCGTGTCTGGTGGGAACACCCGGGTGAGTACTGACGAGGTTCGTCGTCGTGGTTGGCTGCGGATAGTCGTTCTCTAACAGAAGTAATCGCTCTACACCGCCTCCGATGGCTGGGTCACGTATTGTGTATGCCTGCCCATCGACTACCTTTCCGTGCTCGTTTTTGCACATGCTGGGCAAGGCTGGAAGATGTGGCGCGGTGGTCAGACCATGATATGGCGTGGAGGTATAAGGAAGCTGGCTTCAGCGTTGGTTTCGGTTGGTGCAGCCCGCCTTCCAGGCTGGGTCCCAAGGGATGAGGATTGTCGTTGGTTAGAGACGCTGAGAGATATGGCCCAGAAAAGAAGTCAGTGGTGCGAATGCTGTACAGTCTGCCTGTCGAAATCCTGTGCCCACGAAAAAATATCAAAAGATGTACGGTGAAATACACAAAAAATTTTTTGTTATCCCAGATATCTTCCATTTTCCCGTGTTTAACTGTTTCACCTCCTTTTCACCCTATTCTTTACTCAAATCCACCTTTCCCCTTTCATTGTTATTGTAATTATTGTTGTTGCGTTGGCACCATGCTTGTCTACAGGCCGCTGGTAAATAAATAATAAATACATGGAAATGTTTCATGAACCGATGAAGAACACAGATGTGAGATGCTTTCTTCTCTGTCGCTTTGTGCTCACTAAAGTGGGGATCAAAACAGATTGAATCAAACGCTACTTCATCAATATTAGCAACAAAAACCTGCCACAACGTGGGCAAAATCATTGTATTTACGGGTCTTGCGAAGTGACCCCGGCCTCTTATCCAAACTAATTATACCTAGTTACCTAGTTATACCTATTTAAGAGTGAAAAAACAATGAAAAACCAAGCAACTGGTACTGAAATACCACCCAAACACCTTGTCGTGGTGTGCATCTTCCCGAAACACCGTATGCATCAGCTGTGCTTGGTTCGTAATCGAGTGGATTGGAAAACGAGTACCCTCGTGATATAGGTGAACCCTTTTTGGTCATGTCGGATTCCGAATAACCCGCTACCAGTTTTCTATATAATTAATTAACGTTTTACTACTGACCATAATGTCGTCGAACTAGGGCAACTTTCTGGAGATCAGACCTCTGAGTACTTGGTGTCCTGCTCGTTAAAACTTCATTTGCCCCAAATAGGACCCAGATTGCTTTAAGTGTCGTTTTTCTTACCTTAGTTATTTTTCCTTTTCCTTAAAAATAACCATGTGCTTCTGAAAAACGTTTTTGATGATCTCTTCCGTGTTTGTACTCATGTTCCCTATCAGCTACTCTAACAGCCGTGGATACCGTCGCTCGTTGCTTATCGGACCGTTCCGCAGATGATCATCTTCTTGTTCTTCAACCCTGGTTGGGTCTTTTCAGCTTGCGCGCCTTTATCGCAAATCCTGGCTCTACTCGTTGGGTTCATACACAGTCGCTGGTTACGTTCATGGTTCCAACAAATGTGTCAGAAGCCGTTGCGCTGCAAGTGATTAGTAATGATGGTCTTGAGCATCATATTCTCGCGTTGATCGAAGCCCCGCAACCGGGTTCCGTATTCTCCGAAGAATGTCATTGGCAAAGCACTAGTCTGGTGGCACAGAAAACATTTTGCCTGATGGGTAAGAGGTTACAGGAAGAAATCTTGCGGCTCATAAGAATGACTCGTTCCGTAGACCAGGCGCGGTCAGAGTACTGTGTTTTACGGGGTGAGTAGAATTCGATTTCCAGGGTAACTAGACGGTTTCTGAATATGTTACGTTATGTATTTTCTAACAACGATTTTTTTCTAGTGAAAGGGTTTCCTCTTTTTCTGAATCTTTGTAATTATTCTCTCCCCCCCCCTACTCGTCTCCGGATGACTTTGGTAATGACTCAACAACCCATTTCTTTCCACATAAACCCACGTAATCACGTTAATGTCCACACATGGCATTCAATGTCTGTAGACAGCTGACTGAGAGCGCGCGAAATTCATGGCCAATATTTATTCTGCTTTTATTGTGTTACTTTTTTATTCAAATGAATCAAAGGGAAAGGATTTTTCCGAAACTTCCCCGTGTTTTCACTGATCAACGGATTAACGTGCGGTTTGTGAGAAACAGCATGGATCACATCTCGCTGACCTCAAGTCATGATACTCGGGAATACTGTGTGCCGTCAAGTACAGATGTAATTTTTCCACACCACACGTTTGCCAACTGCCGTGTTTCGGGTTAACAAGACTGCTGTTATGTTATGATTGAACGTACGATCGATACGAGCCCCTCCTGCCCAGCCCCCAGTAATGATACGGGAGACAGAACACGACTTGGAGAGTACCGGTCAGAATGCGATACTTAAATATAAGTGGGTACATTGGACGTGCGAGAACGATGTAGTGACGCACCAGTTAGATTGCAACCTTGACAATCCGGTTGGTCGATCGGACGACAGCTGTCTGATTCGCCTCAGCCGTCCAGTTCGAAATCCGTTCGCCGTATCGAGCGCACTTGTGATGTGACGCGGATCCATGCCTAGCCTGACGGGTTCTGTGCGCTTCGTACGTCACCTCGAACAGTGGTCAGTTGATACTAGGGCACGTCACTGTTCCATATTTCTAAGACGTCTCACATAAAACACTAAGATGATGTTGCTCATCTCACAACAGGAACGATATTTTTAAAAATGTAAGTATTCTTCCACAGAGGCCACTGGGGGCCTTTCGTTATAGTACACTCTCGATATCCGAAACGGAAAGCATTGAAACCCTGACACCAATTTACCAAGCGGAATGCAATAGTCTGTCTCAACAATTTCCATGCGAATACTTCCATCTTCACGGTATTATATTTCGGTTAGTTGAAACAATCGGAGCGGCAGCTATAAAGTCCGATGAACATCGCGGGTGACCGACGTGGTTGCGACAAAAATAGCCGAGCTCAATGATGCACATTGGACCTGCTGTTTATCCTGCATCTTTTGGTTTATCAAAACCGACCGCGTAATCTTGACCAAGTTATCCAAAAATATCGAATTCATTCTCCCACCTCAACAATATTTGCATCTTCGGAGGAAGCTACCGAGTGGTTTACGCTTCGCTTGGCGAATAAAAAGGTCAAATCACTCAACTCCGGACCTGACCGTTTTCAAGAGCTATATCTCGAATAAAACTGGTCTATTGAATACCTTTTTATGTTCCTCGCACAAGTGCCTATTTTCGTACCCTTGTATTTCTTCCATGTGGCTTCTTCATTTTTTTTAGGCAGAAGTGGGAAAACATGTTTCTAAGTCGAATTAGTCGGTGCCTTGTGCTTTGTGGCTTATGTAATTCCTAGAAAGTAAAGCAGATCTATCTATTGATGTGCACATATTCTTATTTTCTAATTAAAAAAACATTTCGTTGATTTATCTACTTCACTTTCTATCTGTTTGTTTTTCATGTGATTTGCGACTGGCCCGGTAATGAAGCGTCATCTATCATTCCCAAGTTTCATTAGACAGATTGCATAGTATTTTCCTACATTTCATCCATTGCATAGAGTGACGAAATCTATTATCATCAGATCGTTCAGTGTGATTAATAGTAGTTTCGGATTTATGCATCATCTCCGGTTTTCATTTTAGATGCTTACCTGTCGATGTGGTTAAAATTGTGTGCAAGCATCCCGGAGCAAGCGATTCTCACTGAAATGCAAACGGTAAGTAGAACAGGGACCGTTAGTTACCACACAACCGTAATCGTTCCTAGGCACATTCTAAAGCCATCCGTCCTATGATTCGCATTCCAGGCAATACGTTTCAGTTCATACGCTGTGATATCTTCTAATTCGGCATGTGCACAGAACAACGGACTGAGCCTGCTGTGTGTCTTGGCCGACATTGCCGGTTCCAAGGCCGGAAATTTGTGGAAAGCACTGTCTCCTGGCGATGTGGACGATCTGTTTGCCGCCTTGCCAAGGGTGGTCGAGAAGAGTTACAGCGAGAGCGTGGTAACTTCGACAGATGAACGTTCGGTGTGTTGTTAAAGATCATTATTTGTGGTTTAAAACTGCGAAGCTCGCTTATTTCGTTCCAGTGAACCATTCCAATTCAATTTTTGAAAATCCACTTCCCATTCGTTTATAGCCCATCATCCTTATTTGTGCTGTTTCTTCGAACATTACTGTCTGATCTGTGGTTGTGAAAGGTATACTCGAATGTGTCATTGATTTATCTACCGATGCACCTGTAACTAAGTAATACTACTCTACAGAAATGTACTTTGATTATTTTCGCAATGATGCATGTACGCCAGACGATTCTGGTTACGTGAATGCCTGTGAGATTCTGTTGATCGGTGGAACATGTGTATTTGCTTTTCAGTGTCCCCTACAAAAACTGCGAACGAACGCTGATACCCGGATTGCTGTTGCTCGGTGTTTACACTGCCTGCACAAATTGCCCCCGGAAATAACCACCCGTCATCAGGATGTGGAAGTCATGCCTTTACTGGCTAAGTTGATTGATGATCCAAACCGAGCGGTTCGGTTCGCCGCTGTTCATACCCAGAACGAATGGCTATTGTAAATTTCCTTTTCCCGGCGCCTCCACAGCGAATGTATTTATTTGATAATTTTTGAAACTGAAATCAGATATCCCGGGAATATTTTAAATACAATTATTTGTTCTGATTTAACATAACTACTCTTCCCTGTTGACGAGAACTAGGAATCGGATGATGGAGAAAAATTCCTGTTAGTTATCCGTTTTCAGAGAGATGAACCAAATTATTCAAGTTTCCATTACTAAAGACCGAGTAGTGAAGGCCATCCCCACCTATCTTCCAAGAAATTGAAATTTGTTGGAAAATATATGTGAAACAAATTAGTTCAACTAAAATCTGTATGTAGATAAGAAGTTCACCAAAAATATATATGAATAAAGTGGAAATAGAAACTAAATGCTAACCAGTCGTCAAGTGCACACATCCTCAAGTAAACTGTTCTACAATGGAGTCGTATGTTCGAGGCAGAAATAATTGTCATTTCGGATTGAGAACTGTTTGTCCACCAGGTCGACTTTACAGATAGTGCATGTCAGGCAGGTTGCATGTACTGTGTTGCCTCCGGCATAAACATACGGGGTTCCTGGTCCAATTTTACTTTCGCATTTCTGTGTATGAAAGAAAAAAGAGTGGCGGTATTTCATCGTTAAACGGTGTTCTCAGGACCAGCATACAATGGTTTTCATAAAACCGGTCATATATTCATCATGCAAAATGATGTTGAGAGTTATTCGTGGTTTGGTGGGCTTACTGATAATTTGATAAATATCACATTTACTGTATGGTTCGCCATTCCAAGTTCTAGGGCTTATATCATTCCAATGTCCATTGAACCCACTAGTGGTGTTCTCTGTAAGAAAACCCCATAACATTCGATGCCTGAAGAATCACGCGTTGCAGTCAGACGCTAGTCCGTCAAACATTTTTTGAGAATAGAGGTTTATGTGACACGGATGTGTGTGTGCTGTTTGTTCCATTGTGTTTCTCAGTAGCGTAAGGTCCTCAGCCGTCTACCGATTGATTTCCGAATCCAACATAAATTCACCTTGATCAGTGGAGTAAACTGAGATAACATCGACTGATAATCTGACCGCCATGCTCATGTTCGACGCTAGCTGTTTTGCGCCTTCGAAGTACACGGTACTTGAGCAAAATTGAAAGTAGCTTTTCCTCCGCACTGTTCCTGGTTAGGGAAACACAATAAATTTCATTCATTCGTTTTAGTACCGTAAGACACGTGGTGAACGGGTTAACGACTAAAGAAAACCAACTGGTCTTTTCCATGTAATTGGAGGTATGTGTAGCACTGATGTCATTGACAGTTACAATGCTTTGTGCGATGTGCTATGCGGACATGAAATCCGATAACTTTGCTTAAGATGCCTGTCGCAGCGAAATGTACCCAACAGGTGTCGGGCCAGGATAGTTCTAAAGTTGAAACCATCATCTCACGGATGTCTGGGACATGGCTCGTCATGAAATCCAGATCGATGTTTAAACAATCCGGAAGATTGCCCCTTCGAGCGACGCTTAAGGTTAGCTAGGGCTTTCCATTTGGGAGATCAAGGTGTAGTTGGAAGAAGTAGAAATCTGAGAACAGTATAGGTTATAAATACAGGGCGCTGTTAAACCGTATTTGAGAGGATACACGGGTTCCATTGTTTACGACACTCAGCGATAGAACTTGGTTTATTTTAGCATAATTCAGACTGATCCTGAGGCCCCCGACCAGGAAGTCTAACGCGGCCTATGTGACCGAGTGACCCGGTTACAGTTTTCATACTCTAATGCCAGGCAATAATCTGACATTATTCTGCATTCTTCCAAGAACTATCTGCTTCAGGAAAGGTCGCAATCTGAGAAGCCCATCTGGGGTTTACTTAACTCATGGTCGAGCCATCTTATTGTATGGAGATTAATGGTTTGTTTCACTCTAATATCGCGATTAACTCCATCTCTGTACCTGAACACAGCATGACTTGTCCGATTGCCTCTTAGGATTTTCGCAATGCGGAGTTCAAACAACGATAGTCAAACCATCATGTTTTCGTAACGATCACGTCTCTACACCATGTAGCAGCACACGTACAAAGGATGATTTCATATACATGTCGGTATTGGAAGACACATCTCAGCAGAAAGAAACTTGTACAAGTTGAACTCATTCATTGAATGACTGCCAGAACATCCACTTTTCCTGGCATTAGCGTTCAGTGGAATAATGAGTAATTATGTTCAACCGCATTTAGATTGTCACGTGTGAAAAGTTATTCACGAAGCAATCAGCCTACAAAATGTGGACATTGAGATATCTTCAAACTTTTCCTTTAACCAGTAATTTTCTGTACAAGCGTGTCACAGATTTCCAAATCGTGTGCTGCGCAGATTCCAGTCGTATATCAGATATTTACCATCTAAACTAGCGACGAACCTATCCACTTAGTTAACTAATTCATTCAACATACTTTTTCTTCAGGTCACGAACTGCCCACTTGTATTCAACCAGTATCGGTTCCAGTGGGTGTTTTGCAGCAAAACATCCTGTTCATAGCTTGCTCGCTCCATGTTGACATACCTGTGTCCAGGAAGGACACTTGCGGTAAAAGTTTCGAGCCCTAACAACTAGTGTCATTTCAGTTCGATTGATACTGGAAAGGATAATTTGAGACAAAAGTTTCATTCCCCATTTCTGTGGCTCATATCTCCGGTTCTATTGTCGAAGCCTATGTCTAAAACCGTTATATATCAATAGCCGTCATGCAGAAAGAGTGTGCGGTATTGTGTTCAGTTCGAACTATGCGCATCTTGGTTCACTGCGAGTAAACAGGGTACCCAAATAGACTACTCAAACTTCATTTCGACGGAAATTCACTGATAGCTGCGGTCTTTTATCTGCTATTATGTTCTATTTATGAATAATGATCTTTGAGCCAATATAAGGGGTACGCGGAGGTTAGTTGGCTCCTAACCAGTTGGACAAGACAGCTGATTTGTCATCTGGCACAGAGAAAGTATTTCCTTTTTATTCAGTCTGAAGAACAGCAAAGGAAACTCGGCAAACGATTGCCAAGTCAAAGGAGGATAGCAGTAACTTCGATTAAAGTAGACTGAGGGAGGTCACAGGGGAGAAGGAGAGAAACGTTATGACAGAAATCGAAGTTGTGATGTCAGTGGTCACATTTATGCGATCCGTTCCGGATAATTCACACTGATATCCTTCAATCCAAGGAAATATTATCCTTCCGCACGTATGCAAGCAATGTTGATGGCTTCTGGAACTGCCATTGCTCTGGTTACCTAAATGGTTTGTAAGTGTTAGTGTCGTATCCTTCTCTATGCCTAAAATAACCTATTTATTGACAGCAGAATTAGCTTCTTTTTACAGAAAAACATAGTTGGAACTGCGCTGATCAGAAGACCGTGGCCTGTGTTTGGTAGCAGCTAATGTAGTTCACTATGTACTGGTCCATCATCTTCAATCAGCCTGAAGACATTGAAGTACTGCTGGGTGAATTAAACATAGCACAGCGTAACTTGAAATTCACTTGCTAATTAGAGCAGGAAAACTAGCTCGCTTTCCTTGATATTGGTAATAACCTATAAAGTTGACGATCCTATTCAACGATCAATGTTGCGCAGGAAGGCCTGGTCCGCACAGTATCTTCACTGCAACATTTTACAACCAATTAAACACAACAGGACCCTGGTTCGAACGTCGTTCCGTAGGACGAGAAAAACATGCACAGAGCACACAACGACCAGGAGAATATA